GTCTTCCAAACCTCCCGGCTACCTGTTGCGAGGATACCCACGAGAGACCATACCACCACCACCCCGCCCTCCTCTGGCCAAGCCCGCTCCCCCGTCGCCCCCGTCCGGGTCTCCCCAGCAGCGCCATCGCCGGGCTTTGTGGCTGGGAAGCCAGCAGCATCGCAGCCTCTCCGAAGCGCGGGGGCGCCCGATTCGCCGGCGAGGTTTTCCTCCCCGCCCCCGAGCCGGAGCGTCTCTGTCTCTCTCTGGGGAGGCGGCTGGCAGAGCGCCTCATTTCGGATGCGGGCGGCTCCCCTCCTTCCCTAGGCGGGCGCTGCGACCATCTGATCGCGGCGAGAGTCAATCTGCGAGCAGCGCGAGTTAAAAAGGGGGGCGGCCGCTGAGGCTGGGGCGGCTCTAAGCGGAGCTCCACTCGCACGCGGCGGTCCAGGCAGCGAGCGAGCGAGCGGAGCTGTCCGTGGTGCTGAAATCGAGGCACCGCCAGCGCGGGCGAGCCGGATCCCTCCTTTCCGCCCGGCCGAAGCCACGGTGAACCGAGACAAGGGGAGGCGAGGGGAGCCTTCGCTCGAAGCTCTTGAACTGCAATCCAGGGGGATAAAAAGAGACGGGTTAGCAACGGGTTCGGAGCGTCTCGAACTCGCCGGCGTTGCTCCCCCAGAGGAATGTGTGTTAGTAGGGCAGTCTGGACAGAAAGGGGAATCTACTAGATCAGAACTTTTCGCGCTGGGGGGAAACAGACGCTCAACCTTAGGGATGGCACAGAAAGCCCAGCTGAGGCTTTGGAGTTGCTGACAATGCTCTGACCTCGAAGCCAACTTTTATTGGTTGTTTTCTTGACCCAAAGCGGACTTTTGTGAAAAAGAAGGACAATGGTACAAAACGTCATCTTGGTTTTCTTCCGCAGGAGACTGAGCCAAAGACCTGCTGTTGAGGAGCTGGAAAGAAGAAACATTTTGAAACGTGAGTCCTCTTTTTCTTCTGTGATTCCTCCTTTTCTGACTCTCTCCTATGTTTTTAGCAAGATTAGGGGGAAGAATTTATCGTCCTTATTTAAGAAAAGGTACAGGCACTATTAGATTTCTTCCACTTGCCTTTTTTTTAATTTCTACACAACTGCTGGTATCTTAAATGGTCTAATATTTATTCTGCAGATTGCTGCCTTCTCCTAGATTAGGCTTAAATAATATATATTTCACATTAGCCCAATTCTTACCAGAAGCAGAAACATCTACTGTGATGTCTAAAGTGTTTTTGAATTTTGCATCTGGTCGGCTTTCATCAGCGTATTACTATTTACGTTTTCTAAATTCCTGGGGTTTTTTTACAAAAAGGAAAACTGTTGCTGGGAGCCAGTCACTTGATACTTCCGAGTCTAAACAGAGTTACGCCCTTGAAAGCCCATTGACCTCAAAGGGTTTAGAAGGGTGCAACTCTGTGCCGCCTAATTCAAAAACCAATTTGCTAGGGTTCTGTTGAAGATCTGTTAGGAAACCAAAAAGAATTCCTCTTCCTTTGTCTTGGTGCTCCGATGACCTGGTGTCATTCCCCCCGCCCCTGAAGAGGATGAAAGTGTACCACTAAAATTGCAATCTTTCACTTTGGAAAGTGCAGCAGGCAAGCAGCGATGCAGAAGAGTGACTTTCCCAGCAAAACAGATTGGTTGCACAACACCCTGACCTTTCTAATGTCAGGGCCAACTGTGAATTAAAGCCACACAGGGCGCATTAGTGTATTGTAACAGCATGTCCCTTAGCATCGCCACCCAATTTATCCCGGAGCAAAAGCTCAGATAAATTTGCACAGGTTGCGCTCAGGCAGAATGCAGTTTTTTGAGGGGAATTTCAAGAATCTTGAGAAAGTAAGCTACGCCGAGGCTTGTGAGCGGTGCACTTGCAAATCTAGAGGCCGGCGCTAAAATTGGAGGGCCCAGCGCGAGCAAAAAGAGGAGTCAGAACTGCAAAAAGTGGTTAAAGGATTTTGAGAAGACGTGCCTCTCAACGATTCTTGTTATCATTTGTGTTCCACTGCACACTTGCTTGATGTCTTATGAAATGTGTCTTCAGAAAGTGCATAGCAGATAAACCGGTTTACGTGTTCAGAGCCACAAGCAAAGCTACCCCCTAAAGGTCAAGGCAGGTATCCCTTCCTCCTCCAGCTCCCAGGAAACAGTATAAGGAAATATTGTACACGCAGTGATCAAAGCGAGTTAGATTGCAAACATACGTACTTGCAAAAAATTCCCACTGAACCCGTCAGGATTTGCGTCCAATCAGCTTGCATAGTTTTCAGCTGCACGTGAGCTTTCCAATCCCTGCAACCGATTTCATCACAAGCTGCTGTAGATTTTCCAGATTGTGTGGCCGTGGTCTTGGCATTGTAGAGCCTGATGTTTCGCCAGTAACAGTTGATATGATTTAAACCTCTATTGAACCGGGTTTGAAAGGTGGCATAGCGTGATGGCTAATTGTGTAAACTGGCAGTATGCAGGTTCAAATCTTGCCTTGGCCATGAATTTGCGAGGCAGCCTTAGGAGAGCCACTGTCTCCCAGACTCTTTCTGAAGACACATTTCATAAGACATCAAGCAAGTGTGCAGTGGAACTGCAATGTGGGGATAACATACCTGAACACATAAAGCTGCCTGATCCTGAATCAGGCTACCAATCCATCAACTTCAATATTGTCTACTCAGACCGGCAGTCAATCTCCAGGATCTTAGGCAGAGGTCTTTGACATCACCTACTGCCTGGTCCTTTTAACTGGAGATGATGGGGATTGAACCTGGGACCTTCTGAACACCAAGCAGTTGCTCTTCCACTGAGCCACAGACCCTCCCTAAGACTGTCCTACCTCACAGGGTTGTAGAAAGGATTGCGGAGAGAACATTTATAAAGCACTTTGTAAACTTCTATGTAGTTGCTAAGTATTACCATCATTTCTGGACATGTCCATATGTGGGATTTGTGTGTGTGTGTGTGTAGAAGCTCCGCAGCAGTTGTATTTAGTGTCCCTCAGTCACTCAGATTCTTGTGCTCGGCAGCCGGTTGTGTACACCTGGGTTTTATCCAGGGCTGGTTCTCTGGACCAGCCTCCCAAGGGACTGCTTGGGAGGCACAACGAGGGAAGAGCTGATTCTCTGCAGGGACTTGGTCTGCCTCCGGCCATCAGGGATGAGGAGATGGTGCAGGAGGGGAGGGGTGTACTTTGCTTGGGGTGACAGCATCTCTTGAACCAGCTCTAGTTGACTCTGTTCTTTCTTCCTGCCGCTGGGATGTGAATTGCTTGGGGCAAAGAGCAGAGAAGAGATGGGGCCAAATTCACTCCCCAGATAGGTGTCAGGCACCATCAGAGTGAATCATACTGTCTCTTGATTAGAAAAGAGCAAGAGTCCAGTAGCACCTTCAAGACTAACAGAATGTGTAGCAGGGTATGAGCTTTCATGAGTCTCTGCTCACTTCTTCAGATAGCCCACCCTTCTAGATATAAGGACAGATGGATTCATATTCTAGCTGTATCTGAAGAAGTGAGCAGTGACTCACGGAAGCTTCTACCCTGCCACAAATTGTGTTAGTGTTGGGTATTACAAGTTGAAAACACTCAGTATATCTGGGGTTAAATGTTTGTTTATGTCACTCACAGGAAGTCACATGTTTTTCATGAGCCGCTTCGGCGGGAGGGCGGGGTAAAAGTCTAATTAATAAATAAAAATAAATAAATAAATAAAATGTAACCAATGTTCTTTAGCTGTAGAATACCCGGGAATTTTCTCCCTTATCTAGGAATTTGATTGGGACTAAAGTGTCAAGGTGTATTAGCATTTTATGGCTCTCTTCCCGTCTTTGTTTGGTGTTCTGAAGAAGAAGAAGAGTAGCCATAATCTCTCTCTTCTAGTTTTGTCTTTGTAGAGTTAGGATGTAGCCGATTATGCTCTGTTGTTATTTTCATCCCAGTTACCCTTCCCATGCTAGAATTTAGTAAAAACTTTATATTTTAATCACACATGGACTCTCAGTCTGAATTATTTTACTCTGGCACTGCTGGACTATCTTATCTCTGCTAAATACCATTTTTTCAATATCTCACTATCACCCAACAGTTTTTAACGGTGCATCGTTTCTAACTTGCTGCTGGGTGCTTGGGATGTTTTGCGTCCACGGTTCTCGGTGAGGAGATAAAGCGGCGTATAATTTTTCCCGAATAAATCCGTGCACAGTCTCTCTCTGCCCCTACCCCCTGTATGGAAGACTCAGCCTCCTTAAGGGTTCCAGAGAACTCAAAGGCTCCCACACCATTTCATCGGGTTGCCAACCTCCAGGGGAGGGCCTGGAGATCTCCGGCTATGATCTCCAGATTACAGAGATCAGTTCCCCTAGAGAAAACAGCTGCTTTAGAGAGTGAGCTCTATGGCATTGGACCCTGCTGAGGTCCCTCTCTGGACCCTGCCTTCCTTAGGATCCACCCCCCAAATCTCCAGGTCTTTCCCAACCTAGAGCTGGCAACCCTAGCCATTTAGGGATATCGTGGTAAATTCCAAAATTATTATGGACCCTTTATTCTGGGAATTAGTCTGAGGGTCACTACAGCTATTTGCAAGGTGCAGACTTGCCGTTCCACACTGAAGCACATTTTCTGAACAAAACAGAAAAGTCTTTCTGATGCATCCAGAGGCAAGAAATCATTTCTTTTCTGCAACATGCAAAGCAACACTACCGTTTTAAGTCGATGGGGCAACAACCCCTGGCCGTTCTCTCCTGCTGGTAATGGACTGAATTATCAAATTAAAGATCCTGTATTGGTAGTGTTTTTTAAAAAAAAATGGCATAAACTTGTATTGTGCTTTTTTTGAATGTGAATAACTGCATTCTATTTGCAAGCATGCCTGTGTGCGCTGCTGCTGATGGAAATGCCCATCCCCCCCCTTCTGAGTCCAATCATTGTTACAGCATGCAAGAGTTCCCTTAAATATATTGTGTGTCCCATCTCGCCCCCCCCCCCTAGTTTCAAACTTACATTCCTGGTTGCGACAATTCATGTGCCCTCCCCAATCTAAGGCTGCTTTTATGGGCATGAAATAGCAGTGCACTTCCCACACCCAAGCATTCTTTCCCGTCTGTGCTTTGTCTTGCCGTAGACTCAAACACTAGGCACTGTTATGGGACGACCTTCAGAGCTATTCTGAGGTTCTTAAACTAGGTAACGATCACCACATATTGGGGTCAGTGTTCCCTCTAAGCTGAGTTAGCGTGAGCTAGCTCACGGTTTTTTAGCCCCCGGCTCACACATTTTTGTCTTAGCTCAGGAAGGATGGCTCCAGAGCAGACTAATTTATGCAGCAGCCAAATCGCTCGCTCACCACTTTAATGCCAGTAGCTCACAAAGTAGAATTGTTGCTCACAAGACTCTACAGCTTAACACGGTTTTTTAGCCCCCGGCTCACACATTTTTGTCTTAGCTCAGGAAGGATGGCTCCAGAGCAGACTAATTTATGCAGCAGCCAAATCACTCGCTCACACTTTAATGCCTGTAGCTCACAAAGTAGAATTTTTGCTCACAAGACTCCACAGCTTAGAGGGAACAGAGGCTGGGGTGTCTGTATGTGTGAGATTGTCTGGTGCTGAACCACCAAGCACAAATATGATTATAAGGTT